GGGTTGATGGGTGCAGCAAACCACCATGGTGTATGTATACCTATGTAACAAACCTGCACGTTCTGCACATGTATCTTAAAACTTTAAGCATAATTTTTTTTAAAAAAAAGAAAGATACTACAAAACCTTATCCTTTGTCCACAGAGTCAGAGAATAAGTGTTTTATTTTGTTCTGTTTTGTTTTTTAGTTAACAGCCATTTTTTCTCCCTTAATAGGTTCTGATACTAGAAATAAAATGATGTATGAGTACCTTATTATGTATATCTTAAAGTAAAAAGAAATGCATGTTGTGTGGCAAGCAGTGGTGGTGATTTATTGGATATTCATAGATATAAAACACACATACACAAAGATTTTCTGAGAAAATATTTGGCATGCACCCTGTTGATAATTCTGGGGTTTTAATTGATTCTTCTATTTCAGAAGATCAAATAAATAAGCAGAAAGGATACTGGAATATATCACATACACAAAATAATGGTAATGGGAGTTGTATACAATACTCTGCCTTACAAGTATATACTTTTAGAGATTTCACTGTAACAAAAACAAAGTTTAAAATATAAAAGAAAAATGCAATATAAAACCTATGAAAAACAAGAAGAAAGAAAATATATGGAAAATAATTGTCATTCAACACACTCAAAAAATAAGAAAGAAAGATGGAAGCAAGTAAGGAAGGAAGGGAGGAAGGGAAGGAAAGAAGGAAGGAAGGAGGGAGGCAGGGAGGAAAGAAGGAAGGAAGGAAGGAAGGAAGGAAGGAAGGAAGGAAGGAGGGAGGGAGGGAGGGAGGGAGGGAGGGAGGGAGGGAAGGAAGGAAGGAAGGAAGGAAGGAAGGAAGGAAGGAAGGAAGGAAGGAAAATGGGAAGACAGGAAAGATTGATTTTTGGTAGGCCAACCCAAAATGTAAAGCCTGCTTTGTTCCTGATTAAAGTCAAATTCTGTTATGTGCAGCTTGTCATTTCTAAGTGTATCATGTTTTATTATTTCATTTTCATTCTATTTCTGTTTTGTTGTTGTTGTTGTTGTTGTTGTTGTTGTTGTTGTTGTTGAGACCAAGTCTCACTCTGTCCCCCAGGCTGGAGTGCAGTGGCACGATCTTGGCTCACTGCAACCTCCAACTCCCAGCAAGTGATCCTCCTGCCTCAGCCTCCTGAGTAGCTGGGATTACAGGCATGTGTCACCACGCCTGCCTAATTTTTATATTTTTAGTAGAGACATGATTTCACCATGTTGGCCAGGCTGGTCTCAAACTCCTGACCTCAAGTGAGTCACCCAAGTCGGCCTCCCAAAGTGCTGGGATTACAGGCGTGAGCCACCATGCCCATCCTATTTCACTCTATTTCTGACAACAATCTTCCCTCATAAACACATCAAATTTATCAGTAAAACAAATTTTAAACAAAAAGCTTATGCACACACTCATACAATGAGAAAGCTATTTCTGAAATTTCCCAAAGTTGGAAAGATCACTTGGTAATTTCAATGCTATTTTTAAAATTATGTCATTGTTAGGCTGGGTGCGAGGGCTCACACTTGTAATCCCAGCGCTTTGGGAGGGCGAAGTGGACATATCACATGAGGTCAGGAGTTGGAGACCAGCTTGGTCAACATGGTGAAAGCCCATCTCTACTAAAAACACAAAAACTTAGCCAGGCTGGGTGGCACACACCTGTAATCCAGCTACTTAGGAGGCTGAGGCATGAGAATTGCTTGAACCCAGGAGGCAGAGGTTGCAGTGAGCCAGAATTGAGCCACGCCACACCATTGCGCTCCAGCATGGGGGACAAAGTGAGACTCTGTCTCAAGAAGAAAAAAAAAATTATATAGTTCTTATATTAAAGTAAAATATAAAGTCATGCAAAAAAGCAATCAAATTATGATGATAGTAGCAAAAGAAAAGAAATCAAGGGTATAACAAAAGGCTTAAAAGAAAGATAAAATAAGAAAGCTGTATAGAGATATAAACTGATAAATTTATAATAAAAAGATAAGTCAAATCTATAAAAATTCATAAATCTGATATTGCAGCAAATCAAAGCTGTTAATAGACCAAAAACATTAAAATTCAGAATATTTTCATATGATCAAAAATAATTTAGTGGATGTGGAAAACAAATAACAAAAGACCAAAATGTAGAATTGAAGTTTTACTTCAATAGAAAAAATAAGTGATACAAAGGTAGAGAAAACACAGATAACTACCCAGAAAAATGAATTATAAAAGCAAAATATAATTACAAATACAGATAGAAAGACAGATGTTAGAATAGATAACAGATGATAGACATAAATGTACATAGAAATATGATCAACTGATCAACTTTAATAAGCTTTGTATAATAACTGAACATAAAGTTAAAGATAAGTATTATTAGATGAGTTATAAAAAATAATTAAAAAGAAATAGTAACTTCCATTAAAATATATACTGCAATCTTTTTGAATAGAGAATGAATAGAGAACATTCTCTATTGTTTACATTAACAGAAAACATTAAATGATCCAAAAAAATTCTAACAAATATATTAAAGTGTAATGTTAAACAGTTATTTGGAGGATTGGTGGGAAGTGGGAATGGTTAATGATTACAAAAAATAGAAAGAATAAATAGTATTTGATAGCACAACAGGGTGACTATAGTCAGTAATAATTTAATTGTATATTTTAAAATAACTAAAAGAGTACAGTCAGATTGTTCATAACACAAAGAACAAATGCTTGAGTTTATGGATACCCCAATTTACCCGGATATGATTATCACATCTTGTATGCCTTCATTAACATATTTCCTCCCATAAATATTACACACCTACTATGAACCCATAAAAATTAAAAATTTAACATTTAAAAAAACAATTATTTAAAAATATTAAAGATACATTCTAGAGTTGGCATTTATTTATTTAACAAATATAATTTAACATCACTTTGTACCAGATAGTGTGGTAGGCCTTGAAAATTGTGTGTTGAACTAAAAAGTAGAGCCCCTACTTTAACTGAGCTTATATTCTACATGTGCAACAAATAATTGATAAATAATTTTTATTAATATAAGCCAAAAAGACAAATTAATCCAGATAAAGAGAGAATAATGAAGTTACTGTATGAGAAATTGAATTTGAATTTGAAACAATAAAATGCCACGGTTTAGTCAGATTGTTTAATTATTTATATATATATATATATGCCTTTTTTATTATTGTTTCCAAACACAAAACTCACATATGCTGGATAAAAGTGTCTCTTAAAGAGAGAGTGGGATCTTAAGACTAGAAGAACATTAACAATTATTCAGAGCAGAACATTTGGAATACAAAGGAAGCAATTAGAGAGCAAGAAAAGGGCATGTGTAAAGACACACTAGTGAGAGAAAATATAACATGCTACAATATATAAAACAGTTCTGTATGAGTTAAAAATACATTTTTAAAATCTCAGGCATAAGGTTTAGTTGTGTTCCTAGAGTTATACAGAGCCAATCTTCTCTGCCTCCTAGGATGGCTTTTTAAATATTTTTAAATAGCTGTTTATTCTCAAGTTCTTTTTTCAGATTAATGCCAATTGATAAAAAATCAATATTCCCTGATAGTTACTTGCATAAGATTTGAATTTTAAAATTTAGCTACAAATTTAAGGTCTAACATTTACTTGCTGTGTGACACTGAGATAGTCTACCTAGGCTCTAAATTAGCTTTGAACACAAGCCCTCTTTCCTAAAAGAAAGAGGCTCCTTTCATTTACACTAGCATAGAGATTTGGAGATTTTTTTTTTGCATCTACATAGTATATTTTATTTTTCTTTTTTATTATTCTTTAAGTTTTGTGATACATGTGCATAATGTGCAGGTTTGTTACATAAATATACACGTGGCATGGTGATTTGCTGCACCTATCAACCCATCATTTAGATTAGGTATTTCTCCTAATGCTATCCTGCTTCTAGTCCCCCACCCCCTGATAAGCCCTGGTGTGTGATGTTCCCCTCCCTGTGTCCATGTGTTCTCATTGTTCAACTCCCACTGATGAGTGAGAACATGTGGTGTTTGGTTTTTGTTCTCGTGTCAATTTGCTGAGAATGATGGTTTCCAGTTTCACCTACGTTCCTGCAAAGGATATGAACTCATCATCCTTTTTTAGGGCTGCATAGTATTCCATGGTGTATATGTGCCACAGTCTATCATTGAAGGGCATTTTGATTATATTATTAAGCCTGAAAATAAATTCTTTTTTTTTTTTTTTTGAGATGGAAAAACTCTTGTTGCCTAGGCTAGAGTGCAATGGCTCAATCTCAGCTCATTGCAACCTCTGCCTCCTGGATCCAAGCAAGTCTCCTGCCTCAGCCTCCCAAGTAGCTGGGATTACAGGCATGCACCACCAGGCTTGGCTAATCATTTTTTGTATTTAGTAGAGGTGGAGTTTCACCATGTTAGGCTGGTCTCAAACTCCTGGCCTCAGGTAATCCACCCGCCTCGGCCTGCCAAAGTGCTGGGATTACAGGCGTGTGTCACTGCACCTGGCCCAATAAATACTTCTCTTTATATTCACTATTATGTTTCAGGAAACATCCCATACTTTAATAAAATATTAACATTATTCAGTTTTAAAAAATAAATCTTTCTTAGAGATTTATAAAATCAAATAAATCAATATTAAAAGAGTTCACAAGTAATCTATATTCTGGGAACATTTATGCAAGAAAAACAGAGGGCTTTCAGATTTCCAAAATGAATTCATAATGAAATATTTTTAGGATGAGCAAAGTCAGCTGATTAAGTTAAAAGAATGACGTAATTTCAACAATGCATAAGAGAATATCTTGGATACAGAAAACACCATTGAAATAATAAAAAATTCAGGAATAGATAAAATGGCTATTTATGAGTGACTTCAGTTACTATCATAATATAAACATAAAATAAAGGTGTATGTCCAAAACCTAGCTGATTCACGCTACAATTTTCAATAAGTTTGAGTGGTAATATAACACCCCAAACTTTTATTTCAAAGTAGTAAAGATATACTTTTTTACTATATTGTTCAGGGCTTGTTTCACTTGCTTATTTCTTAAGGTGTATATAAAAGGATTTAAAACAGGTGCAATTGAAGTGATGAATACTGCTACTCCCTTGTTTAAAGATACCCTTTCTTCTGCAGAAGGTTTAATATACATGAAAATGCAGCTGCCATAAGAGATGGAAACAACAATCATATGGGAGGAACAGGTAGAAAAAGCCTTCTTCCTCTGCTGGGCAGAAGAAATCTTCAAAATTGTTTTTATGATATTTCCATAGGAGTACATTACCAGGGCCAGTGTAATCAGGAGAGTGACAATGGCTAAAATAAAGCTTAACAATTCTATTACCCATGTGTCTGTGCAGGAGAGAGTCAGAACAGGAGAATAGTCACAGATAAAGTGGTCAATAATATTAGCATCACAGAATTCCAACCTGAGGCCCATGGTAAGTCCAGGAAAGATTGTTAACAAACCAGCCCACCAAGAGGCAACAGCCATCTGGTGGCAGACTCTGTTGGTCATAATAGTTGCATAATGCAGGGGTTTGCAGATGGCCACATAGCGGTCATAGGACATGGCAGCCAGCAGAAAAAACTCTGATACACCCAAAAAAATGACAAAAAATAATTGTGTCACACAAGCATCATAGGAAATAGTTTTATCCATAATCGCTATGCTGACTAGGAATCTAGGGATGCAGACAGATGTCAACAAGATTTCTAAAAAAGAAAAATTCCGAAGGAAGAAATACATGGGTGTTTTGAGGTGAGAATCCAGCAAGGTGACCAGGATAATGATCATATTTCCAGTGACACTCAATAAATATGTTAAAAATAGAAAAAGGAAAATTACAATTTGCCAGTGTAAATCATCTGTTAGTCCCAGAAGAATGAAGGTTGTCACTACTGTATGGTTTCTCATGATTAAACTCCTTCTGAATTCCATCAGATCTGGAAAAAATAAATATGTTTTTTTAGAAAAAGGCTCCACTGAGTAGAGATTTCAAAGTGATATGAAGACCAAGTAACTCAATTGAAAAGAATACACTTCTTTTTCTTCTATGATTACAACAATTTTGCCTATCAGTCAGAACCCCAGAATCTTTTTCAGATCTTTTTTACTTTGAGAAAGAATGGTTTTATTTTTTCCTATTGTAAGTATCTGCACATTTCTCTGGTTTAAAGTTTTTTCTAAAATACCAAAATGTAACTCCTGCAATTTCACAAGAAAACATCTTTCAGATCAGATTGGTTAATCCTCCTATTGTTAATATAATCTCAGGATTTTTTCAGTTACATAGAGCTTTTCTGCACACTTCTACATTTTAAAAGGCTAATTAGAACTGAAATCTTATAATTAACCTTTTTAAAATTGTTCTTTTCTGATTATATATTTCTGGCTAGTCTTTGGGTTGATAGAGCCGATGAGAACTTTTTCAATGGAAAGAACATTTATGAATCTCAAAATTATGCAAATCTCAAAATTCGTATGTAAATATGAAGCTGAAATTTTACATGGAATTTGGAATTTATATACTCAATTGTTCAGTAAGCTTCAACTTCATAAGTAGCTTTATCAATGTAAGAAATATTTTATATTCAATACTGTTAAAGTACTCAATCCTTTACTAAGTATGAAGGAATATATACATCCTAGTCAAATTTTCAGTAAAAATGACTATAAATCATTGTTCATGATGCTATTCTAATAGACAAACTTAGAGACTCTTTCAAATGTGTATATTGAATCTTTAACCAAGAGTTACATAATTTTTTTTTCTAACTCAGAAATTAATGGGTTTAATCTTATGGACACACTTTCAGAATAACTTATGTAGCAATTGTTGCGTACTCAAAACGACAAAATTATGAAAACACTTACTTTCCATGAATTTCACAAGGGTTTTATTGGCTGAAGCATTGTGCAATTTTTCTTTTGTATCATTAACCAAAAATGTAATATTAAATGATTTTTCAAAAAATATGCATTTATTTCTAACCCATATTTTTTCTCTATTTCCATACTCTCAACAGCGAGACCCGTTCACATTAAAAGCCAGGGAGATTTAATAACAAACATTTGTGGATCTTTCTCTGTCTCCCTCTCTCCTTCCTTCCTTCCTTTCTTTTCTTTTTTCTTTCTTTCTTTCTTTCTCTCTCTTTCTCTCTCCAGTCAGCTTACATGTGACATTTCAAACACATTTTTCTGACTTTTCCTATAAATAAAATGAGTAATGTCTGGATTCAGTCTAACTTAAAATCTGAAAAGCTGATTTATTTGTTTACTAGAATCAAAATAATATTTTTTTTTAGTTTGCCTTTTAAGAATTCTGGTCACTACTTAGAGTTTCTCATTGTCTCTGGAATAAAAAGAGCAAGAGTGCCGTAGATTTACCCTTGTTCTTTAATAATGAGTATGTTTACTCAGAACTGATAAAGAGCTCTGGGGATTCTTTTGGAGAAGATACTAATTGACTATTTTCTTCATTAACTCTAAAAAGAAAAACAAAATAGCAAAGCTAATTAAAAGTCTTGCTATGGCATCTGTAGAAAAATCGGAAATGTTGATGTTAAAACAAAGTCTAATTCCTGTAATGAGATTAAAAGGTTGTATAAAGTACTTTAGGCTTTTCAAAGTATCTGAGCTAAGACTGATCCAAAGAAAGAATAAAACTGGAGCTTTTTCATTCTTCACTTCAAAGGAAGAATCAATCTACCTAATGACAACATTGTCTGTAACTTCTGATTAATTGAATCTTCACAAATTGACTCAGATATTTTTTTGAGTCAAATATACTTACTTCTTATCCTCTCCATACAACTTCATAGCATGAAATATGTATTATATACTAATATAGCAATTAGGAAAACAATGGCATAATTAGAAAGTAATGAATAATAGAAAAGTCATTAATAAAACCCCTTTAGAAGAATACATGTGTAGATTTTTGCCTACATGTCCTCTAAACCAAGGAGATGACTTATTCTTACATTAAATATAATGTAAAACTATAAGAACATAAGAAGAGCAAATCTTTTATGTTTATTCTTTATTAAGAAAACCATATTAAAATTACAAAAATTGATGAAAGAACAAATCAAATCGGTAACCAAGAATTTTAGAGAGATTTTCTATAGACAGTAATATCAGTAACTGATCTAGATATATAAGAATGATATTTTCCGTTCAGAGGATTAGTTACAGTTTAGAAAATACCTAAAATATAAATATTAAATTAACAAGCAAAATGCTTCACTTTTTATGTATTAAATATGTTCTCTTCACACAAACTTCGAAAATAGAAGAGGAAGATGGAATACTTATTAGAGGTCTGTAAGGGAAGCAAATCTATTTTGAGTGATATGAAATAAAATAATTTTTAGAGAATATGAATGTATTAAATCATGTATAGTTGTGTAATTGAGGAAGAAATATATGAAAGATTTTTGCTTTAATTTCTGGTGATACTACTGAAGTTTTTTGCAGAATGCAAGGTAGTCAGTTTAGAAGAAAGTCAGATGTGAAGCAGGGAGACATCTTACTTTTAAAGAAACAGATTATTGCATAAACAGTGATTACTAGAGAGATTAAAGTTCCAGAAAGAAAAAGAAAACCTTCAGAGATAACATCAATATATATACAGATATTTTATTTATTATTTTTACACCAGGATTTTTTGTTATGTCTGACTTTTGATCAGAAATGAGAATTTTGGTTTGGCCCTGATAGAGGGCAACTTTTTTGGGTCAGAGACATCAAGAAAATTGCTGATAGTACAGCAGAGTTAGAGTGAAAATGGAAAAATTGATGGATTTTGAACAAATGGTCAATTGTATCATTAAAAACACTTGTTCAGCTTTAAAGCTGTGTAGATTTGGAAGCTAAATACTTAAGCAGATCCAGCAGGCTTCGTCTCAAGATGTTTGTCAAATTTTGAAGATGAATAAAACAGAAGTTTGAAGAGATAATCTCTGCATTTCTAAAATGCCTAGACTCTCAGTGGTAGGAAGACATATATCCCACCTCCCACCCCAAGGTATTAACTGGAATCTTGAAAAACCCACACAGTAGGTACTGAATTAAGCCAAAGGTCATTGAATCTATCTATATAACCCAGCTTCAATTCAAAATCTAGCTTAACTCCTGTTCAGATTAAGTTGTTTGCCTCATTTCTCTCTGTATAACATTGAAAAATAACCTATCGGAAGCATAAAAGAATTTTTAAAATAAGGTCTGGTGCTCAGCAAAACAAATAAGCAAGCAAAAATGTAGGATGGCAAGACCAATAAAAGCAATAGAAATAAAACCACAGATGATCCAGACATGGGAGTTAGGAAACAATGATCATAAAATTGTTATTATTTATATGCTTGAGGGAATAAAAAATTGATAAAATAATTAAAATATTGATATTGCAATAGATTTAAAATATATAGAGAGGGGTCAATAAACAATAGAATTAAACAACATATCTAAATTGAAAAATGCAGTAAATCATTTTAATAGCTGAAAGTATACATTTGAAGATAGGCATGAATAATAAATATCCAAAATAAAGAAAGAAAATAAGAACATGGATAATAAGATACATGTGGAATTGTGATCAAAAGTTCTAGCATACATGTAATTTGGCATCCCAGAAGAAAAGTAGAAAGAATATTAGGGCAGAAGCAATATTCAAAACAACAACTGAAAAGAATTTCCTAAAGTGCTAAAATTTATCATTCCAAAGATTCAAAAAGCTCAGTGAACCCCAAGTAAAGACCACACTCAGTGGTATCTTCATTGGTGCCCACTGAAAATGAATATAGGCAAAATCGTTATGAGTAATGGCAGTATATAACCGCCTCTGCATTTACCTTCTACCCTATTTTTCTCCTAACAATTGCTGATTATGTTTAAATTAGATTAATTTGGGTCCTGAATGGAGAAGGATGTAGAACAGAGTCTTTATCCAGCCTTTACTTGATATGTGATGGGAATGAGAAATAATTTTGTTTTAAGACATTGAATTTCTTTTTACATAAACCAGTAACATAAGTTTTTATGATCATTATCAAGTATTATGCACTGTACATAATTGTATGTGCTATACTTTTATCCAACTGGTAGTGCAATAGATTTGCTTATATCAGCATCACCATAAACACATGAGTAATGCATTGTGGTACATTACAGTAATGTTATACCACATACAATGAATGTGGTTCAGCAGTGATGATGGCAACACCTCTGGGTGACGGGAAAATTTCAGCTCCATTATAATGATTGAGACCATCATCATATATACAGTCCATCATTGATAAACATTGTTATGCAGTGCATGACTTTTTTACACACATACATACACACACACAGTTATGGTTATCTATAGCTATTATATTTTTTAAATGTGTTTTTCTATTTATTTATTTATTATACTTTAAGTTCTGGGGTACATATGCAGATCGTGCAGGTTTGTTACATAGGTATATACACATGCCATGGTGGTTTGCTGTATCCATCACCCATCATCTACATTAGGTATTTCTCCTAATGCTACCCTTCCCCAATCCCTCCGCCCCCTGCTATTCCTCCCCTAGCCCCTCACCCCCCCGAGGCCCAGTGTGTGATGTTCCCCTCCCTGTGTCCATGTGTTCTCATTGTTCAACACCCACTTATGAGTGAGAACATGTGGTGTTTGGTTTTCTGTTCTTGTGTCAGTTTGCTGAGAATTATGGTTTCCAGTTTCATCCATGTCCCTGCAAAGGACATGAACTTATCTTTTTTTATGGCTGCGTAGTCTCACTCTGCTGCCCAGGCTAGAATGCAGTGGTGCAATCTTGGCTCACTGCACCCTCCACCTTCTGGGTTCAAGCAATTCTCTTGCCTCAGGAAACTGAGTAGCTGGGATTTCAGGCATGCACCACCATGCCCAGATA